AGATGCTATATTAGTATTTCTAGTCCCCACAGTTGAAATGGACATTCTTGCTTAAGCAAAAATATAGGCAAGCTGAAAGCTTCACAGTTTTTGTTTTAAATGCAATTTTTATTAAAATAATCTTCACATCAAATATACAGAAACTTTCAATTTCAGGAAGAGAAAGTTAATTCTATTATTTTTTGAGAAAACAATCCTAGTATTCACTAACCTTGCATTTTATTAAAAACACGCTGTAGGAACTGAGCTACTATTTTGATGCCCATGTCTGCTACTGAAATGTTGGGGCATTCACATACATCAGTACTTCTGGGATTAATCACCTGCTGAGACCATCTTCAGCATTGTATCCTCCACCCACAACATACCCAGGTCACAGCAGATTCTCCCTGCTGCTTACAGGGGTTTACATTAACTCATGGTAGGCAGTCAACACAAAATTTTAAAGACCTCTACTGTAGAGAAGACCATGTTAACAATTTACTCTGCTAACTACTAGTGTAGGAACTCCAATATGCTCTATGTCAACAAGTATGATAACCAATCCTGAGAAACTGATGCTGCATTAGTGACTCTGTAGAATAAAGCACATGGAGACTCTGCAAAGGCAAATTCTCCTTTCTCCAGACTCTGCTCCTGTGCAAACAGTTTGGTTTTCAGGCTTATGGTCTGGCTTCAAACCATTACCATGCTTCCACTGAATTTCTTCCATATATTGACTTTCTGACTACTCTCCTTGTGAAATGTCTTTATTTTCAAGTTCCTCTGTCTTGGAATCGAACCACAATCCTCAGCAACAAATCTCAATTATTACGGTATGGATAGACTGTCCCATTACACCACTTACTCCAGCTTATCCACAGTGAGTTTTCATAGAAGCACAAAAGAGGAACAGCAGTTTTCTCAGAAATGGAATAATGGGACCAAATCCAGGTTTTCCATCTGTGCTGAAAGTTTGGGGAAGTGCATAGTGATGCTTCTCTTCCCACACATCACTGATCAGAAGTCTGACGGTGGGAAGTGACACCACTGCAAGGTCATTGAGCAACACTGCTCCCTGTTTTACTGTTCCATGGAGATACTGCATATCTGCCTCCATGACACAACCATAGCTTACTCTCAACAACCACCAGATGCTCTGCAAATCTCAGCACCTGCTACCAAAGTCACCTACAATGTGTGCAATAAATTATACTAGAAAATACAACTCTCTTGAGACATTATAATAAGAACATTTGGCACCACCTACAGAGAAAGGACCAAAAAGTTCTTCAATGGTTGGGAAAATATTGTCCTCTGACTGCAAAATCAATTAATAATTTTGTACTGTACGTGTTATTTCATCCTGAGCAACTGGCAGTGCCATGGCACCAAAAAATCTCACTGTAGCTGTAGACAAAGTTCCTTACCTTATCTGCATTATTCCCTGCACCATGATGTTCCTTAGAAGAACCACAGAAAGGCACTGGCAAACATCCCCTACACAAATATTACACTAGGGGAATGTTTTAGTAAGAAGATGGTTGAATCAAGCAGAAATACTCTAAAGACTTCACAGTCACTGCACAGCTTTTAAATGTCTATTTCTAGGTGAATTATGTAATGTAGACATTGAAGTAAATTGCAACTTCAAGCCCACAGTGATGAGATTCACAAAAAAGTTAGATTATCTGCTGTTTGATCCCTGCTCATTATGGATATAATATATAGCAGATGTTTCTCAAACTATTAAAAAAATCACACATCCCTGAAAACTGCCAGCACATCATACTGCATTTCCTGAATCCCCCATAAGACTTATTTCTAGATGTTCTATTTTTATTGCATCAATTGAAATTCAAAAGAACACGGGCAGTGACCATAAAAACAACTTCAAGGTGATAAGGTTACTTAAGGCAAGCTTCAGAGTATATTTTTCACCTCACCATATACAGAGAGCTCAATCCTTTCCAATTGAAAAGACTTGATATATGAAAAGAATTTGGAAGTTTGGCTTTGTTCATATTTGAAAGAAGAAGTAAGACTGTTCTTATAATAACCTTAACCAACATGATAAATAGTAAAAAAAGCTTTTGAGTGAGCTGTAATACTTACAGAGGAAATCATTACCTTAGATTACTTCAATAGGTCTTTTTCTACTCTTAACTGTCAACTTTTAGAAACTTTTATACAAGTTATTACAAGTGACCTCTTTTTCTTTCATTTTAAAACTAATGTCAAGAGTATCTCAACTGAACATACTGAACATATTTTTTGCCTTAGGTAAAAATAAATTATTTTTTACTGCCACACATAAGCTTTTTAGATGTACTTCCAAAACAAAAAAAGAGCTTTTATCAAAACAGAGAAATAACAGTTCTCATTAACTCTTGCATGTGCAAAAGAACCACAGCACCAAAAATCTTAGCAAGTGCCTACCATGCAGAGATCTTACACTCTGAAAGTGTCAGTTATTTAAGAAGAAATGTAATGATCACAGCATTAGCTCTAACACCATGTCACAGGCAAGAGAGGGCTGTAAGTGTTCCAAGGTCACAGCATTGCTTATGGAAAGAATTTTAATGGATTTCTAGACATAATAATAATAATGAAATCTAAAATAAAGTTTTAAAACCAGTGACTTCTGTTGTAAAACCAACCAATAATCAACTGCCTTTAAGAAACACTTCACAGATGCACCTTTAAGTTATATCAGTATTTTGAAACTTTATAGTTTTCTTTCACCCTTGGTATTCTGCACAAAGAAATGGAGAATAACAGTTTTCCAAGGCTTAAAAGAAGCCCCATCTAGTCTTACAGAGTGAACAAAAAAGCATCCTATTAAGTCTGGGAAGATCTCCAATACAAGTCCTATGTAGCTGGATCTCACAAGTGAACATGCTTGATAATGGGGGTGGGGGGAAGGTGGTGATCTCTATTTTAAATCCAATAGTCAGGAAAAACATTAGACTGCTACTATCCCACATGTATTGGAAGCAATGACAAACAAAAGGTTTCCTCAATAATCAAGATGCAGAATCTCCTCTGACTTGGAGCCACCAAATAGCATCAAATTTAAAAAAAAAAAAAAAAAAAAAAGTTGATCCTAAATAATTAATAAATTCATTTCCTTAGTTAAAATTAACTTGCATTTTACCCAAGATAAGCACTTGAACAGTCCTGTGAACTTCTGAAGGATCATTTATATTCTCAAAGTGAATATGCTCAAAATATTCTGCTGAACTGCTGTTTACTTCAATAGACCCCTGTGGTTGCATCATATTCCCTTTACATAATTTTCAGCAATTCTTAATTGAGCATTTAGGAGGAGCAGAGAAAACTACTTTATTCAGTTAAGACTAGTATCTGGAGTTTCATGCTACTTGTAAAACAGGGAAAAAATCTGACCTGTCAAATTACTGTTTATGCATTATTTTCTAAACTATTTGCTTTTGGCTAGAAGCTCCTTCAAATAGCCAAACTTAAATTGTTGAAAAAAGGACTGACAAGTACGATCAGAAATAAACATAAAATAGAAAAAGCTAAAGCTAAAGTCAACAATCTAAAAGTCACACACAGAAGCAGGTTATCTGTCATTGCTGGAAAGGGTTTCCTTTTCTTGCTAAGCTTCATAATTCTTATATTTAGAATTCATACTCGGATAAAGTTTTACAGTAATATGAACAGAATTAAAATATATACTTATTATTCTAGTAATCCTAGTAAAGTATTTTCAAGAACAGTTTGACAGCAGTTTGGATCATACTTATCAAATTGCCATATTCAAAACATTAATGCAGACAGGTATGTATTTCTAAGTACTTTAATTAAATCCCCAAAACAGCTTGTCTTTTAAATTCGCATTTTTATTCTCATTATTTTTTCCAGCTTATCCTGAAATTTTCCACTACAGTGTCCTTATTCTACATATAAAAATGAGGCCCTACTGACAGACTGATCTGAGACAAGGAACTGCTTCAAAATCAGTGACATTACATTAAAGGTCTGACCTAAACTGACAAAAACAAAAAAACTGTCTCAAAGGCTAAGAGAGTTAAGGTAAAAGTTTAGAGATACTTCCCATTCAATACACTGCAATTTTAGTACTTATACAACACTACATTTTCACCAAAGTCTGAGCTCATCCACACTTCAGTACATCCTCAAAGACTTACGAAAACCTTGAAAGTGTATCTTATTTTAAAAAAAAAAGTAATCATGGGAAAGAAGTACAATTGCTGGAATACATTATTCTGGTTTATATGAAACTGTTTTAGAACCTGTCTCTGTTAAAAGTGTCTCTTTCCATTTGTTTAAAGTACCAATTATAATAAACCAATTTGTGCACCCTCAGGTACTTGCTTTGCTCAAAGTTCTCGTTTTAAAGGAAAATGTTCATTTTTAAAGTTCTCAGTATTTTTCATTTTTCATCTGAACTGTACAACATCTGTGTGCATTTACTTAATGTTAAAATAAATTAGTTGATCAAAAGCAGAATACAGCAGGACAGGAGGTATTCTGGTCAAAAGAAAAAGACCAAGGTACTAATCCAGTTATTCTTCCAGCCTCATTCTGGAGCTCTTTGCAAAAAAACCCCAAGACCTCGTGGTTTTTCAAAAATATAGGAATTTCAGTATTTAACTCACAAGCAGTTATTTTTATTTATGCAGTCAAATATGTTTCATTGTTTGTGTGCCTATCAATCTGCTTAAATCCTAGTCATAATAGCAACTAAACATTTCAATCACACATGGTACAGAGCACATTCTCCTGAAATCTACATGAAAAAGATTAGTGCTGCCATCCAATCACGACTAAACTTTTCTCCACCACAGAAATCGGCAAACACTGTAAACCACAGATCTAAACAATTTACCCCAAACAAGTAAGAACAAGCACTAAGAAAACACTGCTTGCTTTAATTGACCTCCTCCAACCCCCAAGCCATCAGGAATTATTCTAAACTAATACAACTAGTCAAATTTGCATTATACCGGTTTTGGATACTATACTGATGTTACCTGTCATTAATGATCCAGTTCAGACACAGATTGAGAGAATTAAGGTTTTTGCATCTTTTTACTATTTCCATCACCGTTTCATTGTCCAGTTCTGTGATATGACGCAGGTCCAAGCTTGACAGATTTCTCAGCTGTGGAGACAAATACGACAGAAAGAAACAATCTGAAATTCATTGACATAAATAACCATTGTAAAAAACTGCCAAACTTCTGGGAATCAAGCCCAATATGTGCAAGCTAGCCAAGAAAGATATGATTACTATATTTTTCACACAAAGCGAACATATCAGAGGTATTCACAGAATCAAACTTTAGCAACCTTGGAATTCAAGCACTAAGTTACTACATGAAATCCAGAAACTCTCTCTCATGGTCCAATACACCTATAATAAGGGCCTAGGCTTTCCTCTTCTTACATATATGGAGTGTAAGATACCAAGGTAAAATATCAATCCATTTAACTGTAAGAAAAACAAGGCACGGAAGGAAGGGAACAGCACATTTGTGCTTAGATTTAAATGCATGATATCAATGACCCCAGAGTATAAGGCTTTCAAACTAAGTAAATATTACAAACTCCCTGGAAAATCCAGTATTTATACTGTAGTCTCACCTGCACAGTTATCAATAATAGCTTGGATATTCTGAACAACAAAAGTTGGGAGTGACAGCACAATGAGATTAAGATTTATGCACTGATTAATCTGATTTATTACTACTTAAATCTTTCTAATGTCCTTCAAAAGGAAACCCTCTTACTACTTTTATGAGCTACGGGTGCAAAGAGGAAAATTTTTACAGATTTCTGCAGTATCAGTTTAGTCATAATAACCTCCAAGTGCTGTTTGCTTTTCAAGCTGTCTGAAATAATCTCTATTATACTCTGGAAAAATAATTGCATTAAGCAATATTGACAGTTTAATTAAATTTACCTTCCCTGTGAGAGAGAAAAAATAATCCTCATCAGTGATTTAAGTCACTGAGGATTTGATTAGGTAAAGGCATACAACTGAGATCATATAATTGGTCCACTTCAGTAGCTAATTATTAAGTCAATGTATTTGGGGCAGGTGGAAGGCTGGGGGGAGAAAAAAGGAAAAGGAAAAAGAGAGGACTTGTAGGTAGCCTTCTATGGAAACTGATATCTTGCCGTTTTGTTCCAGAAGTTTTTAATATTCTGCAAACTAAAGCTGAAGATAAACTACACAGCATTTCCAAAAATTCTGCAGAACAAGCATAAAATTAAGGACTCTGACCTCTAAGTCTCCAGGGCATTTCTACAGAAAGTAGGACAATAATATTTCTATCATTAGGATGCTATCACAGGTATACTGTGGAGGTGCTTGCTGTAGTCCCATTGAAATTCTGAAAATCTTGTTGGCCTGTTAGGGAGCAGAGCACATAGTGTTTGATACTGTGTTTGTAAAATACACACTTGTTACAAGCTATGCCTCTCTGCATTTCATATATGCTGCTCCAGCACAAACTTTAAAGGCCTGACCTTATATATGCCAAAAAAAGGCTCACAACCAATCTGTCATTTTTTCCTGCATAAATTACAAGAAGGCAAAGCTTACAGCAACTTTAGTTTTCCTCATGTTCTTACCACTATTCATATTAGATATTTCAGCCTTTAGACTATGTTGGCAATAATGTGGCCTATGTCTATGACATAGAAAATACACCTGCTGGACAACTCAACAATGAACATGTTCTATGACAGTAAACACATATTTACCAGGAGACCTCAAAGACAAGTAGAAAATCTTCTCACTTACGTTTTTTTCACAAGACTATTCTTATGAGCAGGTGACAATACTGGTGATTCTCTTGTCATTATTATTACTTACAGAGTAAAACCCATAAATTTACATTAAAGAATCAATGCAAGGAGATAGGTCAGTGCTTCTTCAAAAAGTGCCTAAATAACATGGGTTCAAATTAGATAAGAGGCACCAGTATATTATCTGCCTCAGTGATTCAACGATGAATGCAGCACTTGTGATTTCCAGGGAAGAAAACTTTTGCACTCCATGGGTAGACTCAAAACCTAAACTGAATTCCTACTGACCAAATTAACAGGGTTTTCAAAGTAGATTTTATTCTTTACCACCACAGGAGAATGACCATCCCCTCATTGCTTCTTTCCTTCATGCCAATAATAGTCCACCATTATATTAAATATACAGTAGCTCAACCATCACTTGTCTTTTTTTACTGTCACACTCCTTCATTTTAAACCTGGCAACTGACCTACTTGGTAGGTTAATTTTTCTTTTCATCAGGTACAACATACTCAATCCAGAAAACCTTACTGTCTTTGAAGAGACTGCTTCAGATTGATACATACACAAGTATAATTTGGTCTATACAAGCCCCTATTGGCATTTCATATGTTTGAATGACTTTCAAGACCTGGAAAACATTCCCTTCATCACATGAATTTGAATCAGTTGAATATGACAGGTGAAAAGAATACCTCTTGCCTACTTAAGTCAGAGGTATCTACATCTTCTTACCAGTCAGAGAATAGTTATAAATGTGTATGTAACCATTCTTCATTTAAAATGAAAGACAGATACCTTAATGACAAATTTCCTATACTTTATCGAAAAAGTAATTTTAAGGGATTAATGCTACAATGCTGCAATCACTACTATTATTAAAATGCTACAAGAGAAAAATACATAAATTTTATATTCTACCTCTAACACAGCTAAAAGTAGTATGATATTAAAAAGAAAAAATTAAAAATCAAACTTCTCTGGATTGGAGAAGTTGGACAGTTGGACAACAGTTGGACAATTGGACAGTTCAGATGTTTGAATCTTCAGTGCATTCTTGAGATTAAAATAGCACACCTTCATATAGAAATTTTTTTTACAGAACGAGGATACTCTGTGACTTAAATACTCAACCTTAGGCCACTAGGATGCATAAAGTTTCTCCTTTTTTTTTATCAAAACCAATTTTGTTCATGCAGCAATACCATTTTACTGAGCATTTTCAGGGCCACTCTTCTACAGGTATTCACACTTTTCTTCAACTCCTAATTTTATAGCTCTGCAAAGAATGTTCAGCATGAGCAGAATTTAAACTTTGAACTCAGCTCCATCCGGCAAAATGTTTTAACTGAACAAGCAATATTTAATGCGACAATAAAACACAGCATGCAAATAGTAGAGAGGGCTTAAAATATGAAACAAAAAATAACAAAATAGAAAGCAAGAACATCTAAACTAATTTTGTGTGATGCATATAAACACATTCTTGCTGAAATTACTGATTATTGACTCAGTGTTAAAAATGTGTGGGTCTAAAACTGAAGGAGTCTAAGTACATGAATGAGATAGGAAGGGAGCACAAGCTGGTTCCCTCCTCTTAGTCCTACTAACAGGAAATTAATAGAGCAGTAGGTAAAGTCTCCGTGAGGAGACTGCCAGTTAAAATGTACTGAGAGTGAATTGCTCCACTGGAAATGACAGATGCAGAAGAACCACTTAAATCACCAAATGGTTTTAGACAAAGAAGTTTGAAAAACAGAGCTTTTTAATTTTTATATATTTTAAATACAAATGTAAAGTTAAATACTATTTTAAAGATATTACTCTTTACTTTTGGATCTCAAATATTTTAAAATATAGTACAATCCTTTTCGTTCAATACTTTTGTTGGTTCAATTAAGTTAAATTTTATGCCCATTGATATATTTAAAGATTCAGAAGCTATCATAATATTTGTGTGCTTGAATGTTACAGAACTCCTAAGATTTCTATCTTGACTACTGGAACTTATAATATTAAAATATGTGCCATGATTTAGATGATAAAAAATTACTATTACCATTGTGATCAAAGGTAATTTTTCAGTGTGGGTGTATCAACTCCTGTGAATTTTTAGCTGTTACTGTTTAGGGGATTACTAATATAATGGGTATTCACTTTTTTCCCCCCTGCATGATTCCACAATTCCTGTAGAGATATGCAACCTTAAAAATCATAGAATAGGATGGAATCATGGAATCATTTAGGTTGGAAAAGAACTTTAAACCCAAGTCCAAATGAAACCTGAAACTGCCAAGGCCACCACTAAACAATTAACGGAATTTTAATTAACCTTAATTTTCTTGACACTTTCTGTGTATACATGCCTTCAGGGAATAAATTGCTCTCTGACTCAAGCCCCCCAAAGTAAATGCATGATCAGAGAAAATTAAAAACAGCAATTCGAAAACAAACTGTAAACCAAATTATTTTTATTATTGTGTCAACAGAATCTATAAACTACTTTTTAAAAAGCCACATTACTGAAGAGCTGCTGTAATTGAACTATAAGATCGAGATATACTGTGATCCTGAAAAAGTAATCATATGTAAAGAACTGGACAATGATTGAATTGTTACAGAGGAGACTATTTTCCCATAGATTTAGTGTTCTGCATATTTAGTGTTCTGCAAATTTTAATTTCATTTCATAAGTATTGCACAACATTGAGGACCCACTGCTTAAGTAAGAAATACACAATCAAAACCTGTGTTATAATCACTGAAGTTTAATTTGCATCACTTACAAAAAACAAAACAGAAAGTTTGTTTTGAAAAGTGTAGGTATTTCTAAAAAAAAAAAAAGATTGAAATAAATCATATTCCATCTTGTGATATACAGTTCATTATACAAACTGACTAAAAAACTGTTTCCTCTTGACCCAGACAAAGAACAGCAATCATGTCCATAGGTAAAAGCTTGATGATATTAAGATCAGAGGGTATGCTGAAATATAAGGAGCATAAAGCAGAACACTTTGTGTCAAAACAAATCAGTTACTAGAAGGAGACCATACAGTACCCCAGTTTAGACAAGGCTATTGCAAAATCAGTCCTGTCATGTGTAGATTATCATTATATATCTGTCAAGCTGGTAATGTGTGCACTGAATGAGCACTAAGTATTTCCTCCATAAATTTGAATTTTGATTGACTTCATATTGGCCACCAGCTCAGAAACAAGTATCACTAAGTTGGATCGGACATGACTCTCGAGTAACAACTATGAGATGAAGAAAGATTAAAGATCACATTACTCCAAAAATAGTTCTTAGATAAAGTGTCTTCATGCATTGGTGATTAGCAGAGTAAGTTAGGAATTTTTTTCTCTTGAAATTCTGTACAAGGATTCATACACACTTAGATGTTTGTAATAAACTTTACCAGACAGTCTGTCAGAAGCACATGGTGTAGAAGCACAGACAGAGTTATACTGCTACACAGCAATTACTCTTGCATACATATCAGAAACCAAAGGAAGAACCCAAAGAAGTGGCTTCATAATAAAATTATATCTAGATGTCAAGGTTTGCTGATGCCAGCTGTTAAAATTCTATTACAAGTGCAACAGTTAAACTGCTGAGAAGCAATTACCACAGCAGGGGAGGAAAATACCACCAGATTTGGGGTCAGAGATATAAAATAAAAAATCACCACTTCTTTAGTTAGAATAGAGATTTCTTATTCCCACTCAGTTAATGAATAAAAATTATCCATCTGGTTGTTCTGTTTTCAACACAATCACCTAACATGCAGAGGTACTTTTCACATTCGCGCAGCTCTTCACACTTAAAGGAGAAGTGAAGTAAAAATTAACCAGGAATATGCTCCTGAGAGACAAGGATGTGAGGAGGGAAGGAAGAGAGTAAACAAGAAAAAAAAATCATACAGGGAAAACTAAGCAAATAATAAAACAAGCGAGAAAAAAGATAAAACAAGAAAGCAGTGGGTAGGGATGTGCTGAAAATAGAAGACAAACTAGAACACTACATGCAGTAGATGTTTTTCCCTCCTTCAGAGAAATAAAGTTGACAAATGCTGGACTAATTTTTCTGATGTCATAGTACAAATCATTCAGATCTTCTGTGACAATGTTTCACACATTAGAGCTACAAAGACAAATGAAACATTCAGGTCATCAGAACAAACCACTGGTTTCAACTGTGAGTCTAACTGTGAACTGCATATACACATACACACACTCCTCCTCCCCCTTTCTTCCTGGGTATGCACATGCAAGTGCCTCTCATCTTACCCAGTAATTATTATTTCTTTTGGGTGCATTTCTTGTATCTAATAACAACTTCAAGAAAAAAAGGCACCGATGTGGTGACATGGTCTTGCTCAAAAAGAAAATTTTTTGGACTGTCATTGGGTTCAGTAGAAAAATAATGAAAATAAACCCTGAATGTTTCTTCTTTTTCTAAAATATACAACATTTTCACTACCATTCCCTACAATTAGCTATTAAAAAAGCTCTGCAGTGCAGCAGCACTGTAATTTAGAATTTTCAAGTGCTAGTATTTTTAAAGACAGCTAACATTACTGGGGGGAAAATACAGTCATAATAAACCACTCCATTTTTATACATGCATCAGCCTCAAAGCACTTTCACAAGCAAAGCCATTGCTGTTATCTCCAGCTTGCACACAGGAAGCAGGACAGAAAGGAACTGGCTCAGCACAGCCTTACGGGACACACTTGTAGGCCATACAAAACAAAGAACAGATTCCACACTGTCTAGGAACATGGGACTGGAATTATTACTGAACAGTTACGAAGTATAAGTTAAGTACTCAACACAAAGCTAACCACATGAAATACATGATGGTTAGAACAAAAAATGATGTCATCAACAGATAAATTCTGGAAAAGACAGATGCAGCAGTTAAAGATCATGTTACTGTTTCCTACAGGCCCTACTAAAAAGCCTGTCCCCATCTTTATTATAAGTCCCTTTTAAGTAGAAAGATTGCAAGAAGGTTCTCTTGAACCTTTTCTTGTCCAGATTAAACAGTCCCTAACTTTCAGTGTTATCACATCCCTGCCTTTGCAGTATTCATAGCCTACAGAAAGTTGTACAGATACAGCTTGAGGGAAGGAAACTGGAATCCCCACATCTCAAGTCCCAGTGTGCACCAATTACTTAGAAAGTAATTACATTCCAAGAGTATAACCGGCCTCCTAAATATTTACTAAAGGACTACATTCAACAGTGTCACTCCCACGTAAATCAGGATTTCTAATACTTTATTATTATTAAACATAAGAAAAGGAAAAATACATGTTAATAAGAAAAATAAAGATCTTTACTTTTATCTAATAAATGGGATTATAAAGTCACTTTGTTGAAAGCTAAGACATCTATTAAATACTCAATAAATCTAGGCCAGAATAATCCAGTAACCAAAGCATGTAGCTGAAAAGTGATCTGTGTGGAAATTTCCAATAAAGCTACTACATAAGACTACACACCCTGTCTTATGTTAAATTATATTTCTAAGAAATATAATATAGCATAAACCTTATATTTATGCTGTATATATAAATATAACCTACAGTTATACACAGATACTTTTCATATGACATGAAAATAATAGTATAATTTCTTTCTCCCACTAATATATACCCCTTTTACACATCACTTCAGTCCACAGAGTCCTTTCCCAATGGTGTCCTTTGAGGTCCTATAACTTTACCATGCAAATTAATTTCTCTGCTTTATTTCTTTTTGGATATGTTCCAAAATGTTTTCAATTGTTCTGTATCTTCAGCTACTAAGAAGCCCTAAAATGATAAAAGTATTTTACAGACATATTGAATGCTTCTGTATAACAATAGGACAGCTGCACAGCTGCATCAAAAAACCTTTATTTTCTTCAGGCATATTCTGTTTTTCATTTAATATATTCTCTACTTGGCACCTCAAGATCTCTTCAACCATTTTTATGTTTGCATGATCCCTAAATTTACTTTCACTTACAAATTTTAATTAGTATGGTGTTTGTCCACCTCATCCAAGGCATCCATTTTACTGAACAGTTCCGTTATTTTCTGCAGATTCACTCATGTTAGCTCTCACAGACATAATTCGTCTTATGTGTATAAGTCAAACTATCTATGTTAAAATATGAAGATGAATATATACATACAATGTATGTACACTGCTGTCCAAATCTCTTGCAATTAGAATTTTGCACTTTGATTATGGAATTCTGTTTTGTTTGCAATGGAATCTGTTGTAATTAGGCATTTTACTTCTGAGAAAATGTATAACACTTTGATTATATTTTTGATACAGTGTTTTTACACAGTGAAATCTGAATGTGACTGCTCAAATAAGTCAAAGTTCATTTACTGCGTCATGTTTCTATCCATGTCAATGTTATAAATCATACAAATAAACTTATCCTGACTGATACGTATGACTTGGCTACAGTTAAACACACTAAGGACTAGCTAAAAGTAGTTATGATACTCACGTTGGTAAGGTGAATGACTCCTTTTGATGTAACAGAGCAACCCATGAAACCAACATACTGCAGCTCTGGACAATGTTCAGCAAAAGCTTTCACTGACTGATCTGTCACCTGCAGAACAGATAAACAGGTAACAGTTAAATAGGTGATATAAGCACATACTTTACACAGTTTAAGCAATTTCTAATTGCAAGCTGCTCATTAATACTTTTATTATTATTACCACTGCTTTTATTTATGTCAAGTGTTTTAGAGAAAACATTGTATATGCATAGGAATGGATATACGTGCATGAAAATCACGAAGAAAGATTTTTGGCAGAAGGGAATCATCTTCCTAGAGGAGGAAAAGAAGCACAAGACAAGAGAAAATGGATGGCCACAAAGTCAAGTATTATTGTCATCCTGTTTAAGTGCAAACAACCCAAGAGACCATTCTATCCACTATTCTCATAAACTACATACAAACATGCAAATACTAATGAATTTGTTATTGCCATCCTTACACTCATGCTATACCCATCATTGACTATGAAGAACTTGAATTGTGTGCTATCTTAAGTTTACATTCCTTTTTTTAGCATTTTTGCTAAACTTAAGCGAGTGATGATTTTAACTTAAAGGTAATATTACATCTGTTTCTCACATCAGGCTTGGTAATCTCACAGTAATATACCACTTTGCAAGTTATCAGTTGAATGGAGATGTTACCCAGTTTATTATTGAGATTTTGTTTATTTATACAATTACTTGTTATTTATGACTGTCTGTGAAATTTAATAATATAAATTAAATATAAACCACAATCCATTGTATAAATGTAGTGCTTTGTAAGTAGACTAAATATTCAAAAGGACAACATATTGTGAATTTTGGAAAGAATGTAATATTGGCATGGTTACACTTAAGACACCTTAACCGAAAAGCAAAACAAGTTTAGAAATACCTAGTCCAAAACTGAGCCTCAGGTGAATACACAGAGGAACATTATTCCTGCTGTGCTGTGGATCACCATTAGCCACAGAACCAACTGGCCCAACAAGCCACTTGACTGCATACTGGCAGCATCTGTTGACCTTGGTGAGGACTCTGGCAAAACAAATTTTGAAAAGGCAGCCTGGAGATATGGGTTTACAGATAAAACACCACATTAGAGCTGTATTGGTTTGGGGTTACTGAATATTGTTATAGACCTAGTGCAGTTTTCTCAGAGCAAAAACTTCTCACTGAGCAAAGATTCTCATTGTGGTATATCTGCCAAATAAAGCACAAGCCTTCTAGGACTGTGTATTTAGAACCCAATTAAAATGAGAACAGGTCAAAATGAAGGGGTTAGGGGTCAGCTAAACAGATTCAATCACAAATTGGGTACTGATTATGTGGTATCTGCACAGTCCCAGGTCCCAGGTCCGCCTACTTGAACAAAAACAAACCAGTGTATTTCAAAATTTCTTTGATTTTATCTAACACAATCATTCATTTTTGGTTTTGCACATTCCTCTAAACTGAGGACAGCCACACAAACTATTTAGGTCTTTTAAGATACTGATTGTCAAAAGCCTTTGACAAATACTATCACAAGTCAAAGACTTACATATTTGCACTATTTAGCATGCTCTCAGAACCAAACCAGGTGGAAAAGAAAGTTTATCTCCTCTCTAGAAGATAAACTAAACCCTCTGATTCAGCTAATGATCTAAGAGAAGGACCCTGTTACAATCTTAACCTACACTCTCTACAGAAGATTAAAGTGTGGCTCTCTGTTGCAGACAAGTTTGCCCTAGCTAGCAAGAAAATGTAGCAATGGAAAATCAATACCACAAATGTCTAATACAACAAATTCATTAGAGAGCTTCCAACTTTTACATACAAGCAATTTCTTACTTATAGCTAACATTCAGGTGCATAAAGACATTGAAAAAATAACATTTTGAATGCAAATAATAAAATAAGTATGTCTTAAAATCTCTTCATACTATGGAATTTTCTGTACTCTAAACAAAATCTGTGGAAAAATAATTTTGATAAGAATTAGTAACAGTAGATTATGACAATATATATTAAATAGTTTACAGATTAGCAGCGAACCTTTTCAGTGCTTGTTAGGTATGCACTATCTATTTAATCAGACAAAAGATCCTTCATTACCTCTGTATGCCATGCAAGCCTCATGATTTTCCAAGCAAAAGCAGTGTGACACTACCTAAATATGCTTTAAAATTACTGTAGTAGAAATCACCACTTTAAACACTCATTTTGCTACCGAAAACAACAATTTGTTCTTAAATCTTGACTTATGAACAAAATAGCAGTGTTGCTGTCTTTAAGCCCAGTTCACTAACAGATCCTGTCCATTGCCGTCAGACAACAAAACTCCACTACCTGCAGAAGCTGACCTCAACTTTTATTGGGAAACACTGTAGAAATTTTCTCAATCAACATTGTAACCTCCTGTCAGCATTCTTTACTACACCAGTATCTAGGAATACATCACTTCTTTTTTGGACCCTATGTCATCTATAGCAATTGATTTTTTAATCACATGATTCCCAGCCAGACAGCCTGTAATGAAGGCCACTTGATAGTCTGCTTGGTTAGCCACTTTTAACATGACTGCACTGTCCTATAATTGTAGTAGTTGGAAAGGAATATATATATATTTCTATATATATACACATGTACACACACACACTTGCTATTTCACTACAATGGCTTCTCATAAGACAAATATGAGACACTATGGACAGAAATATCAGATCAAAATACCTGTAATCCAAATGAAGGTTAAAAACTAAAATTTATATTAGGTCTTTCTGTTCTTTTTGCAGAGGTTGGGAAAAGTAAGAATATGTAGTCATTTGGAATTCATTTATAAATGTAAGTGTAGCATTATAGTCTAGTAAAATTGTCTAGTCTTCAGTTAGACTAACTGAAGATGGATAACTGAATCCTACCTGTCCTTATTTATATAAGGCTCAAAAACATAACAATACAAAGTTTGCATGCGGAAGCATCTCTTTTTTTTCCCATATGATCTATTTGTATCAAGGAGAAAAAAATTAGGAAAGTTTCTGCCAGACCTGAAAGGGTGATTAGATATTGGAATGGGCTGCCTAGGGGAGTGGTGGAGTCACCAACCCCGGAGTGGTGGAGTCACTGTCCCTGAAGGTACTTAAGGGAAGATGGTGTGGCAGTTGGTGTCATTGTCTAGTTGTCAGCATGGCGATGTTTTGTCAAAGACTGGACTCCGTGATTTCAGAGGTCTTTTCCAACCTAACTGATTCTGTGATTCGGTGAACCAGAAGCAACAAAGTTTAACTTCAAACTCAAGAAAGTTTCTAAGACTGAAAACAACTATTTTTCTGCTTAACTAGTCTGTTTCCTATTTCATCATCTGCATTGTCTAGCATAGATGGTTTACACACAGACTTGAACTTTCATATTTAAACTCAAACATGCAAGCCAGGTCACTATTCCTACCATCAGTAGGAGCCAGAAATCGTATCCCTCTTATTGTATGAATGTGTTTGACACACCCAAGAGATGGTCTATTCTGCAGAATTATAGAAAAATAAGTGACTGAGGAAAAAAATGCATGGAAAATTAGCAGTGATGTGCATGCAATGATTATGCATTTTAACACTTCCTCATATAATGCAGTATGTAATTGTACGTTACATTTTCTTCTTCACTACTCAGAAGATAGAACAGGTGCATTAAACATATTATAAATATGGCTTCTGTAAACTAACAAATTTTTAAACAACTGTATCCTGGTGTACTGTACAAGCAAATTAGACTAGCATAATCTAAAGCCAGATTACCACAGAAAATATACTGCAGTTCTACAGAAATGACCCTTGGTCAACAAAGACACAGAAATTCACACACAATTCTTTTACAGATGCCAGTAGTGTTCTTCCAAGAATCTTTAGTAATTGGATTGTCTAGTTGACCTTCATTGACTTTCATTCATCCTGTCTTGCTTCATCTTAGTCTTGCTTTGAAAAAGTAATGTAGGATGATGAGGACAGATTTATAAGTTATGCACTAAAGCATTGTGAATGGGAAATACACTGGTCTGGAACTAATGGCACAGATTTTGCTCCTATCAAAAAGATCTATGATAAGTGAGATATGGTTTAATAATTTTCATCTATTGCAGCCTATTATATATGAATTCCAATTCTGCATTGTTTTACAGGAATTCAATATTTTGTCTCCTCTGAATTAGATTCTATAAGTATTAGTTTATTTTACATTCTATTCAATAAATGAAAGTGCAAAAAAAGGAAAAAGCAGAGATGATAATTCAAGAAGAAAGTCTGAGGTACAACAATACAAGCACAACAATACAAAATTCCAATTAAAAAGCCTCACAATTAATAAAAACTCACAGAAGCTCAAACAGAAACAGCTGAAAAAGAGATAGGAATATAAATAGCAACTGGCACAGAATGAATACCGTGTTCTCTAATTTGAACAAGTGCACTGCACTCTAAGTAGATCTTAATATGCAATTTTTCCATGCAATATACATAAATAAAAGTTCGAAAAATATGTAAAATATTCCTCAGAACAATACATTCTGCTAGAATAAAGTATGTTCTCATGTAAGTAGAGAGTCAGTCTACCATGAATGTAACATGCAATTATTCACTGCAAAGTCAACACTAAGGGTAGAAGAAACCCCTTTTCTCCCAATTACTTACTCCATAAATCTTTATCTGTCTTGGTCAGACACCAGCTTAAGAAAACCTTTTTTTGGGCAGAACTGGAAGAAGGGAAGAGCTGAGGAGGGCTTACTAAAATTCAGTTTTATGTTTGAAAAGAGGTATATTTACAGAAAGTTCATCTGCTAATTCAGTCCTAGAATTTCTTGCCCCACTTGTGCTTTATAATCTGCTGCAGATTAAGGCCCAGAAATCTGCCCTTGCATGAAGCACATGGCTACACTCTCCAACATGTGTTTAATGCATCACATACTCAATATGCATTTTCCCTCACCTGTGTTCCCTGGAATTCTTGCATGCCATAGCCTCCCATAAAGTGCAGTTAGGCTAAACTCAGGCAGTTTTCATTTAACTGCTTTTTAGCAAGACTTCTGAAACT